TTTTTTTTTCCCGCGGTGTTGGTGTTGGGAAGACCCCGCCCGCGTTTCTCCTCCCGTGCCCCAGCGGAGAGAGGCCGGGAGAGCGGGCAGCACCTCCCCGGCGCACCGCGTGCGGGCTCGGCTCGGCGCGGCCCGGCACAGCACGGCACGACTCGGGCGTTCGCCCCCGATAATGCAGAGCTACAAGTACGACAAGGCGATCGCGCCGGAGAGCAAGAATGGGGGCAGCCCGGCGCTGAACAACAACCCGGCCAAGGGCAGCAGCAAGAAAGTCCTGCTCATCTGCCTCGACTTCCTCTGCCTCGTCATGGGTGAGCTGCCGCGGAGCTGCTCCGTGCCCCTTCTCCCTTCTTTCCTTTCCTCTCCCCGGGTTTCTCGCTTCGGGTCCCGCTGGGGAGAGCCGGACCGAGCCGCTCGGCGAACAAAAGGGGCGCGGGGCGGATCTGAGGACCCTCCCCGCTGGGCGCAGCCCCCCGCCTCACTACTGAACGCAAACAACCCACCGCACGACGCTACTTTTTTCCTCTCTTTCTTTTTTTTTTTCTTTCTGTTTCTCTTTGTATCGTTCTTTTAGTTACTTTTAGTTACTTTTCTCTTCCCCCCCCCCTCCTCGCCGCTGTTCTCCTCTCGTGCAAAGTAAAAGACGGCTTTGTGGGGGGGTGGGAGGCACAGCCATACGGGCTCGGGGTGCCCCGAGAGCGGCCCCCGGCCCGCGGCTCAGCGCTGCAGCTCCAGGTGGAGGCAGTGCGCTGCGCTCCGCGTTGGGGAAAGAGGGGAACTTTTCCTCTCTCAGCTCCATCTCCGTGTTGTAGCAGCGGGTCCGGCTTTCCTCGCGCGGTGTCGGTTTAAAGGTTTTGCTTTGAAACGCTCGCGGGCATCCCCTGCTCACACCGGTGGAGTTTCGCTTGCCAGCCCGCTTTGCTTTTGGAAGTGGCACGGCATGCACGGGAACTGCCAGCAGGCCGTCTCCAAGAGGTGTTTTGCACGCCAAAACATCCACCGTTGGACGCTGGCTGCAATGCTGAATGTTTAATTGACAGATGCAGGCAGGGGAAATCAACCGGCTTCCAACAAAGAGATTAATAGCATGGCAGCACGTGAGTTTAATGCTCCAGACGCCACAGTCTTTAAAACAATTGTTTCTGCTTAGAGGCCGTTTTTTAAGGACTGTCAGTCTGATTTAATCTTTATGTAGTTTATTGATCATCTGGTGTGTATTACGAGGCACTAATATATGAAGAAGAGAGGCATGGTTTTCTCTTCACATTCCCACAAGGATAGAGGCCAGCACAGAAAGCTTCATCATTGTGTATCTGGAAAAAAATGAAAATATTTGATATCCTACATATTTTTAGGAGGAAGTTTTTTCACACAGAGGGCAGTGAAGCACTGGAACAGGTTGCCCAAGGAGGCTGTGGATGCCCCATCCCTGGAAGCATTCAAGGCCAGGCTGGATGCGGCTCTGGGCAGCCTGGGCTGCTGGTTGGTGACCCTGCACATAGCAGGGGGGTTGGAACAAGATGATCACTGTGGTCCTTTTCAACCCAGGCCATTCTATGATATACACATGAAGCTGCTATAAGGAGAAGCTTGACTTACCTCACTTATTGAAACAGGAGGTTGCATTCCTAGTAAAACAACTGCTAGGAGTCAGAACTTTAAAACTTTTGTTTACCCAAGTTTTCTTGACTTTAGGCATTCCTGGCACACACAAATGCTATTTAAATGGGTAAAGGGTTTTTTTGTGTTGTTTTTTTTTTCCTTTTCCTTCTCCAGACTAAGAGAGTCTGAAATGAAAAAGTAATTAATTGCCATGTGTTATTCTACTCGAGATAATTTTGGTAAACAGAACTTATCAAGCGTTACTGGAAGGTATTGTTAGGGAGTAATGTGATACAGCAAAAGCTGTGATTGTTGCTTTGTTTCACGTTACTGCAGGTGGAAATGAGAGAGTAAACACAAGGGTTGTGTTTTGGGGTGAGGAGCATTTGAAAGTAAGAGCAGGAATTCAACAGCTGAAGCCAAGAGTTCAAATCTGGCTAATGACACACAGGTGAGGAGCCCTGGTGGGCTGTGATAAGGGTGGTGGTTGTGTGATGGAGAGTCCATGGACCGTGTCTGTGGATGGGCTGTTCAAATATACCCAGAGCAACAGCAGCAGACCTGTTGGTGGGTATTTTTGCATGGGTTGCTGTGACGTCCAGTTGCCCCACTTGCATTGGGCTTGGCTTGCTCTTTGCTCTGCATTTCTCTTGGGAAAATGAAGAGCTTGCAGTTTTCCAAGTGCTGGGTTCCCATTTTTCTTCCTTCCTGAGCTTGTCACAAAGAAAACACTTTGGAGGTGAGGGAGGAAAAATAAGTGCTCCAGCTGAAGCCTGTAAGAGGAAAGTAGATGGATACTAGTTGGTGGGTATTTACATCCTCAGTAAAGAACTGAAGTTCTAGGTGAGATGATGAGAAGCAGAATTGGGTGAAATGACCTTAAGAATGTGGATGTACTTGGCAGAGGTCTTCTGCTGGTGCACGTAGGCATGGCCAATGGGCTCCTGTGCAGTTCAGTTACACCTCTTGAGTGGTTGCCCAAAGACATTCAGAGTAACAGGGAAACAAAAGACTTTTCTCACTTGAGGGCCGCTTTAGGAAATATTAAAACCACTCATTTGATTTGCAGAGGGCTGTGACACTGCGTTAGCTTCTGCTGTAGTTACTCTGCTGTAATTCTGCCCCCCAGATCAGTATTCTGTAGGGAAAAATGGGAAGAATAAGCTGTGGCAGAAATGCCTTTGAGAAATGACACATGCTTTTTGTGAGGCAGCAGATGTGTACGAACTCTTCTTTGTTTACATACAAATTTAAACAAATTACCCAGGAGACAATTATCATAAACATCTAAGAAAGTCAGAATAAGTAAAGCAGTGCTATCAGGAGCTTCCTTCAGCTGTAATTTGGTGAGAGTGTTAGAAAGATCCACTTTGTCTCTGCTCATTAACTACAGTGGTTATCTTGATAGCAAATTCATGAGGGGAAGATCTGTATCTTTGCTCCTTGGGGATCACTGGAGCAGCTAAGTAGCCATGGGCAGGAGCTTGATGCTTTGGTAGCTGACAGTGGAGTGTGTTGGCTGAAGATCTGCTGATGGAGACCCCACGTTTCCTCTGCGTTTCCAGCTGGGGTTGGGCTGGCAGAGAGTTAAGTGTTTCCAAATGCCCCACTCTTAACGAGTGCATTGGCATGCAAATGTGCCAAGCATCCATATTGGCAAATCCTTGCTTCCTTGTGCCATGAACCAGAGATTTCATCACAGATCCGGTGAACCTCCCTGAAAATTTGTGTCAGAGTTCACCTGGGCAAAAGAGGCATAAAAGAACTGAGCGTGCAGGGAGGGAAAATAACTTTCTCCATCTGCTTCCTCCTCTCGGGAGGGCTCTGTTTAGAGAATTAGAGGATGCTTCCTGAGATTGTTAGGGCTGCAGTAGAGCCTGGTTGTGTGGCAGAGTCATCTTGTCCTGTTCATGGCTCACTGTTCGCTTCAGCACATCTGAAAATGGGGCTGAACCGGCCCTCTGTAAACCAGAGGAGTAATGGGGGAAGTAAGAGGGGTGATGGGAGACCCCACCTTCAGTTGGCCTCTCTCTGCATGGAAAGCTCAACCAACCATTCCCTTTCTGCACGGGACAAGGGCCAGGTAAGGATATCCTCCTCCTCAGACCCTTTAGTGTGAGATGTTTGGAAGCTGTTCCCACGGAAGTAACATCTGGGGTTAAATGTGCTCCTCTTGGACCTGCTGTTTTCACATGAGGCCAACAGTGAGCAGCCACCTGTGCTCTGCTGGTGGCCTGCAAGCCAAGGGTTTCATGCCAGCAGAGGGGAGGGCTGTGTCAGCGAGGCCATAGGGCACACTGGGGTCTCCAGTAGCTCGTGTTTTTGCAGCTTGCACAGGTATGACAACTCCCCAAACGTCCTGCGTGTGCAATAAAATAGTGGGATTTCATCTGGCGTTCCCCTTTCCTGTGGAAATCGGGTTTATGCGTGTCTTTAAGAGATGTAAACTGCAGGTAACTCACTGTGGGTCTCATTTTCTGTCTTAAATAGTTTTCTCTTTGCTGCCAATCCCAATTACTCTGCATAACAAAGGTTCTGCTGCCTTCAGGAGGTTTAGAAGCAGCATATTGATGGGCCTCTTACACCTTCAGCATCTCTTCAGCTTTCACACTCATTTGGCATCTCTTCTGTAGCGAGCTTGATGCTACAATGAACTTTGCATGTAAATATTTACGCTAGCAGGACCTTGAAATGTTTATGTAAGCGGGGATATAATCTTGTAATTTGGGATAACAGTTTTGGCTACTCTTAACTCTCCCCTCCTGTGTGGAAAATTGTGTTGTCCAGCTTGCAGGAGCAAATAAAAGTAGGGGCTCAGGAGGAGCTTCAATCCTATGCCATCACAAAAATCAGTGCAAACAGGCCTGGCTTTGTCACTTAATTGTAAGGAGTGGGAGGAATTAAAGATGAGGAATGAGGTTAGAGTTCTTTGGGTGCTGTGAAGCTGAATTTGATGAGCTAAGCAACTTTCCTTTGTTTGGGTTGTTTTTTGTTGTTTTGTTTTGTTTTTTTTAAAGACTGCCCTGCCGTGCAGGGCTCACTGATGTGTAGGTAACATCTCTCTAGACATGCCTGGAGAAACTGCCGATTCAGCGGTTTCTTATTTTCATCCAAGGACACAAAGCTATGAGAGCACTAAACCAGCCAGGCAGTCCCAACGCCTCGGTTTTGCCTTCCATGGGATGTGGAGGACTGGCCCCATACCGCACGCAAGGAGCTGTGTGGGTGGGGAGCCGTCGCTGTGCTCGGAGCATCCCTAGATCAGGTTTGGTTGTTCGTGTTTACGTATCACTTATGTTAATCCTGCTAGGATCTCTTTGTGGCAGCGTGCTGCCTGTGAAGCAGCAGGGTTGGCAGCTGCCTTGGAAGTGCTCTGGCAAAGGAAGGCTCACAGAGGTGGCATCTTGGAGAGGGGTTGTGTGTTGGCATCCCACCGTGCCTTGGTTGAGATGGTCTTCTGAGTGTTTGAAAAGATCTTATTCCACCAGTGATCAAAATGGAAGCATGAGAGCCATCATCAGGTTTTGCCTCTTTCTTGAGAAACCAAACTAAAAGCCAATGATGGCTGGAAGAGAGAAATGTTTTAAACATCTCCAAAACATGTTGTGTAGGCTTTATAAAACCTGGAGGAAAAAAAAACACAGCTATCAAGAGGAGGTTATTAGTGACAATTATAGCTGAGGTGTTAATTGCAGAACAAGGAAGTGCT